GACCTAAACTCCTGGTTAGGGTTTTCATACAATCATGCCAGGTCTTAGCTTGACCACCTTGGGCTTTCTTCCACCCAAAACCTGTCTGGGCAAACATAGCTCGCCATGGCAGCCTATTTGGAGACATGCGTAACACATGCTCCAACCAACCTAATCTATGGAGGTCGACCACTTCCTCCAGTGGGCGACCGCGGTTGCCTAAAACTTTTCGCCTGACCACAGCATTGCTCGTCCGGCTGCCCCACCAGATTCGTGCAATGCTACGTAGACAGCGGTGCTCGAACACCGACAGCCTATCTTTGTCCTGTTTTCTTAATGGCCAAGTTTCTGCTACATATAGTAGAACTGGCCGAACTACTGCAGAATAAACTCAACCGTTCACAGACAGCCGGATGTCGCGACGGCGCCATAGATGTCTCAAGTTGGCAAATACCAATCGAGCGTTCTGTATGCGCTCCGACACTTCATTTGTGATGCGTACGCCAGGTGAGATATAGCTGTCCAGATAGCAAAATTTATCTACTTCATCTACTACTTCCCCAGTCAGGGTGAGGTTGGGGGCTGGACGGACCCAATCTTGTAGTAACATTTTACACTTTAAAGGTGCAAAAGATCGACCAAACCTTCACCCATGAACCAAATCTTCACTCATCGACCAGATCTTCACTCTGCGTCAAGTCCTCGAACTGCGTCACACATCGTCGGCCAACAATCGCAGTATTCCTTTACCCAAAAGGAGCCTAAATCGCACAGCTTTTCTCCACTTGCCTATTCAATACCTTCGTTTTGGAGTCTCCAGTATTTCATCTACGACGAAATTGAACGGGAACGGCGAAAGAGTGTATCCTTTACGGACGCCGCTGCTGGTGACGAACGGCCTACTTAGATTGTGGTAAACCTTTACATGAACGGAGGTCTGTGAGTACAGTGACCTCAGTAGGTTAACGTACTTCTGGGGCATTACCGTTTGAAGAAGGGAGTCCATCAGAGCTTCGCGGTCAACTGAGTCGAAGGCTCCTTTCAGGTCAAGGAACACTGCGATCGTTGGCCGACGGAGGGTGTGACGCAGCTTAAGGATCAATACATGTAAAAATTTGATTGAGAGGAAGAACTAGATAGATCGGAAAGAGGTCTTTCCAAATAGGTGCCCAAGACTTTAGGGTAAGGCATACTTCGCGGTTGTCCACATCGACGAAGGGATTTTTCATTGGGAACATTAACCTTCACACTTGAGTATAAAATAATAAAATAAATTCCAGATCGTGAACGTTGAAATCCTTTCAAGATGATAGCATGGCCCACAGAAAAACAAGTACATGATATCAGAAGATAAACAACTGAATATGGAGTCGCCACTGCTGGGTGAACGATGGACAACAGTGAAGTAGGGATTGGAAGAAAGAACTCGACGATTCAACGATATCAGTGAAAATTCACGGTTGGAAAAGTTACGATTATGTACGCTAAAAGTCGCGACTGATTAATGAGCGATGACGCAGACACCAGCGTTGAGTAAAAAGGAGTGATGATTTTCATTAGGTGGTTGATGGAGAATGATAAGGCGTATTCGGGTCTCAGTAAAAAAGTAGGGTGAGAATAACTGAAAAATTGGTATTCAGAAACAACGTAGCAATTCGGTACGGTCATGTTGAGGAGAATGGGTTTGTGACCGTCTTACGAGCAAAAGCACGTAACTGTGTACTGCAACGGGAAAACCGGTGAACATTATCCTGAGATTAGGAGTAGATCAGGCGTCGTAGTGACGACAACAGAGTGGTCTACTACCTGATAATAAATAATGTCAGTCATGATTGATAAATAGTGCATATCACTAATCTTTATACATTCACTGCCAATGCACTAACTTTCCAAACGAGTTGACAGCCCGAGTCGGATGAGCCTCTAGGAGCATCCTCGCGCGCAGTAGCTGAAGTTGTGCCCCGTTTTCCCTCGTGCCACTTGATGCGGTGTAACATCAAACGCTCGAATTTACGCTGCTGTTTGGGTCCACCCTCGACGACGACAACATTGCAATCGGTGTGAAGTGCAACGAGACCGGTCATTAGGAGCTGGTTGGCATTCGTTTCAACTTTGAAACGATGCGATGGATTGGAAAAATCAATCACCCTGAAATGAATTAACAAAGCCATATGAGTAGAAAAAACAGTAGGGTCAGCGAAACTTTATATGCATGGTATAGGATTTTAATAGAAAAAACATTCAGATGTTTCAAAAACAGTAATTTAAGTTTTATATTCAGTTTTTACAACCATTAACCGTGCACTTTCGTGTTACATTGCTTTATCTTCCCACAAAGTGCGCAGAAAATAAGCAACAGCTATTGTGAATCTGTCAATACCATTTCGTGCGAAGTTTATACACCACAAAGCAATGTTGTTACCGAAAGCTTTAGTATGATCGGAGGCGTGCTTCAAGTTTTGAGCGGTCGATATTCTTTTTTACTTCGCAAAACGTTCAGTTCAGTTTCAGTTTTTACAAACATTAACCATGCACTTTCGTGCGCCGGTTTTGGTTGCTATCTTTTGGATGCCTATTTGGAGAAAACAGCAGAATGAAAATTAGAATGTTGAGAGCAGAATCAAAGGGAAGATAGGGGATTCACAGAGACAGTAGTTGCAAGAATATTTAGTGGATGCACAAGCGCTACTGTTTGCGACACTCAGACATCAGTCAGCGCCTCTAACCACCGGTGACCATGATCTCGGGGTCCCCATTTGGAGAGCCTAACGGGACCGACGGAACTCCGCGTCCTCGTTAGGGTTTTCATACAATCATGGCAAGTCTTAGCTTGACCTATCTTGACTTTGTTCCAAACACCCTGCCTCAGCAAACATCGCTCACCGTGAAAACCCATCTGGTGACATGCGTAACAAATGTCCCAACCAACGTAATCTATGGAGTTCGATTATTTTCTCCGGGGGACGACCGCGACTACCTGAAACTCTATACCTAACATCAGCATTGTTCGTCCGGTTACCCCACCAGACTCGTGCAATACTGCGCATACAACGGTGCCTTCGATTAAAGTTAGCCGTTAAGCTCTTCTGAGGTCGCTGCTCCGCAAAGGAATGCCATTGAAGTATATAAACCTATTGCGGTCGTTGTACCTGCATACTTCTGATAGTGTAAGGGTTTACTTTGGGGTAAGCAAATCGTTCGAAACCAGGAAAGGTGTCTGTCAAGGGTGTTCTATTTCGCCATTCCTGTTCAATTTTTATCGTAGACGAAGTACTGGAGAACGCGCTAAGTGGTCTCCGAAACGTAGGTATTGAATGGGCAGCTGGAGAAAAGTTGTGCGATTCAGAGTAGGCTGATGACATCGTAGGCCTCTTTGAATCTATGGAAGATGCGCGATTCGCTCTTGACAAAATAGCAAGTTTTGTATCTTCTTTCGACATGCGCTTTGCACCTTCAAAGTGCAAAGTGATGCTACAAGACTGGATGTCGTCTACCCCAGCGCTGATGCTTGATGGTCGAGAATTAGCTGTAGTGGAATGTTTATCCCACTTAGGTAACTGCGTTTCAAATGACGGTAGCATAGTCAACGAAGTAACCGCTTGCAGTTCCAAGGCTCGAGCAGCTAACGCAGGATTGAAACACCTTTGGTGCAGATGCGATCTTTCGTTGAAACTGAAAGGTCACGTATACTGCGCCAGTGTGCAGCCGGTTCTGCTCTTTGGTTGCGAGACCCTAAATTTGCGAGTGGAAAATATTCGTCGTCTTGAAATATTCGACTGCAGACGTTTACGTAGTTTGGCACGGGTGGGATAGAGCGAGTTTGTAAGCAACTCTGAGGTGAGGTGTCGCGTATTTAGTAATGATTCGATGGAGAATTCGTTGTCCCATAGAATTCAGATTAATCGGCTCCGCTGATTATTGCGCACGTCCATCCATCGTCTGCCGCACCGCGCCCTATTCGCAATTGCCGCTCCAGGTTGGAAGAAACCGCGTGGAGGTCAACAGATGACGTGGAAGCGAG